CAGCCTTCTTCCGCCCAGCATTCTCCTCTCTCCTTGTCCCACCTATACTATCCTTCCTGCCTAGCTACTGGCCAATCAGCATTTTATTTATCAATCAATCAATCAATCAATCAATCAAAGCAACATATATTCACAGCATACAGGACATCCCACAGAAGTCTCCTTTTTAAATGTGTCTGTGTGTCTTTCCTACATGTATGTATGTGCACCTTGTGCATTCAGTGCTGTTCTGTAGGGTTTCTTCCAAGACTGAAACATCCCATCCTACAGGGAAGTACATTAAGACAGAAGGTAAACAACTCTAAGTAGTTTCCGGAAGTCCCTGAAACTGAGTAGATTCACTAGGCCCCTCCCTCCCACTGCTCTGAGAGCAAAGCCAAGCTGCAAAGGAAACTCTCATACCAGCTAGCTGCCCAGAAGAGGTGCAGACCAACTGAGTCACTTGAAAAGGACTCTCTTCAGCCTGTTGCGCTGCCTGCCGGCTGTGTGTGCCGTGTGCTCCGGGTCCTCAGCTTTGGTGTCCCATCTTCCCATACTGAGGTGTGTTTTGCTGATGCACCTGCCTTTGATTCATTTCTGCTCCTGTAACTACTCACTCACATTCCTGTAACTAACCCCAATAAAGCTCACTGGCTCACCAAATTGGACTTTGGTGGTATCCATACTTTGGTCTGTTTGTTGTGGACTCCCTAAGGTGAGCAGATGTGTGTGTAGTGTCTCCCCAGGAAGTCTTGCCACACAACAAGTGCCCACTGATGCCACACAAGTGCCCATAACAAGCTCCCCTGCGACTAGAGTTAGAGATAATTGTGAGCCACCATGTGGGTGCTGGAAATCGAATCCAAGTCCTTTGGAAGAGTAGCCAGTACTCTTAATCACTGAGCCATCTCTCCAGTTCCCTCCCCCTCTCTTCCTCTCTCTCTTCTCTCTCTCTCTCTCTCTCTCTCTCTCTCTCTCTCTCTCTCTCTCTCTCTCTCTCTCTCTTTTTGACAGGGTTTCTCTGTGTGTAGCCCTGGCTGTCCTGGAACTCACTCTGTAGACCAAGCTGGCCTCGAACTCACAGAGATCCACCTGCCTCTACCTCCTGAGCTGAGATTAAAGGCATGCACCACCATTGCCCGACTGAGCTCCTATTATTTTACATACTTAAAAAAAAGTCAAATCCAGCCAGGCAGCAGTGGCGCATGCCTTTAATCCCAGCACTCGGGGAGGCAGAGCCAGGTGGATCTCTGAGAGTTCGAGGCCAGCCTGGTCTACAGAGCGAGATCCAGGACTGGCACCAAAACTACACAGAGAAACCCTGTCTCGGAAAAAAAAAAAAAGAAAGTCAAATCCCCTGGAACTGGAGTTACAGAAGGCTGTGAATCACCATGTGAATGCTGCAGACATAATCTGGGTCCTCTGCAGGAAGAGCAAGCGCTTTAAGCTCTAACTGCTGAGTCATAGAAGTTCTTACTAACATTTTCCTGGGAATCGGTCAGTCTTCTGCGCTGTCTCTCAAGTTTGCCTTTCTCTCTGTACTGATTCTCTCTCAACATCTCTCTCTTAGTGTCTCTGTCTCTCAGTCTCTCCATGTGTTTCTCTCTCTCTCTCTCTCTCTCTCTCTCTCTCTCTCTCTCTCTCTCTCTCTCTCTTTCTCTCTCTCTCTTTTCAAGACAGGATTTCTCAGTGTAGTTTTGGTGCCTGTCCTGGAACTCGCTCTGGAGACCAGGCTGGCCTCGAACTCACAGAGATCCACTTGGCTCTGCCTCCTGAGTGTTGGGATTAAAGGCGTGAGCCACCACCGCCCGGCGAGGCCTTTTTCTCTTTCTCTGTGTGTGTTTCTGCCTCTGTCTCTGTGTGCCCCTGTGTCTCTGTCACTCGCAGACTGAAATTAGCAAAATGCCTTACAGGGTCCAGACAGCCCACCACCACCCAGGGGACCAATGTGAGCCAGAAAATCTCTACTGACCCTGCATTTATTGAGTGCCTACCGTGTGCATGCTCCCTTATGGGGGAAAAAGCTATGCTTTCCTTTACAGTAGGAGAAACTGAGGCTGAAGGTGGTTGGGAAGGCAGTGGGTTTGACACCCACCTTCCTGGCCTCCCAGGATAGGTCTGTAGGTCTGTTACCCCAGACAATGGTCATCACCCATGAAAGTTGTCTTGGTGAGAGCTGGGGCTAGGTGCCACTAGGGCAGAGGTGACAGGGTTGCGGGGGGCGGGGGGGGGGAGTTTTCTCGGACAGCCACTGGGGCCAGAGTTCTCACTGGTGGTAGAGGTTTCCAGTAGGATGGGCAAGCATTAGCTATAAACAGGAGAATGTGGGCTGAAGGGAAGGCATGAAGGAGCAGAGAGGGGCACCCGAAAGACTTCAGTGGCTCTCTGGGGCTGTACAGTGGGTTCTTTGGAGAATGCTCTGTGTGGTCAGCCGGTGAACCAAGGCCCAAAGGGAACACGGCAGGGTGTGGCCAGCAGAGGCATGGTAAGCAGGACTGGCAGGCTCTATCCAGTACCTGATAAGGTTTCTGGACTTTACTCAGAAGAGAGCTAGCAGTAGGGGCTTCTGGAACATTCAAGGGGGTCTGCAAGGTGGACGAAGGTGCTGGTGTCATGTTGGGGCGAGATGTGGGAAGGCTGGCAATGGTGGGCAGATTAGGGTGTTCTGGCTTGGGGGACTCTGGAAAGGCAGGTTCTGTGAGGTGCTGGTGGTGACTTCATTGGTGGCCCCAGGGGACTGTCACGAATGCCATCTGCAAGCTATTGTGGCAGCAGGAGCTGGGGGTGGGACGCATGCCCCTCGAGATGAGTTTAGAGCTCAGACCCTGGCATGGCCCTCTCTGCCTTTGCTCACCCTTCCTTCCCACTTCTTAGCAGTTGCCTTTCTTAGTAGCTTTTCCAGTTCTCGTAACTGCTGCCCCGCGGGCTGGGAAAACCCAGCTCCGGGGACCAGGCTCTGGCTGAACGGGCGGGCGTCAAGCTGCACTTTGTTCCCTGGATGAGAATGCTCAGGCGGATCAGCTGCTTCGACTGGGCAAGGGTTGGGGCTATAATCCCAAGCCACAGGCTTGTGCACTCTTTGGGACGAGGACCTCACTGCCCACTCACAGGTCCTACATCTGCTGCCTGTACCCGGGTGCCTCCATGATGCCAGGCCATGGCTTGGGCATGGAAAACCTGTTTTCACCCCTTGTTAAGGGTGTACAGAAGCCACCTGGCTGCAGATCAGATGCCACTTTGGGAAACCACCTACCTTCCTAAAGGTCCTGCCTAGACAAGCCTTGGGGCCCAGCTGGGAGGGGTCACCTCATTGTTGGATGGTCTGGTCCATCTGACGACATACAGATTCCTGAGGGGGAAAAACATAGCGGTGGTGGCGCATGCCTTTAATCCCAGCACTCTAGATGCAGAGGCAGGTGGATATCTGTAAGTTCCAGGCCAGCATGGTCTACAGAGCGAGTTCTAGGACAGCCAGAGCTACACAGAGAAATCCTGTCTCAAAAAAGCAACCAGCCAACCAAACAAACAAAAATTAAAACAAAACAAAACCCAAAAACCATAGAGGGCAGCCACCTGGCTAATTGAGATCCGAAAGAGATGCTTTCCTTAATCACGCTATCATCCACAGAGGCTTGAAGCAGAAAACAGACCCAATAAGAAAGCAGGAGGCCAAGACTCTCCTGGCTCCACAGAGACCTCTGGAGAGGCCCCCACAGCCTCTGTTTCCTCCTCTGTGAATGTAGAGAAGTTATTCTGGCCGGCTTGGCACCCCTGGGGGTGAAGGGAAACCAGGCAGCATTTTAATGTTTCAGACAGGGTCTCAGGTAGCCCAAGTCAACCTCGAACTCCATATGTATCCGAGGACAAGCTTGACTTTCTGATCTTCCAGCCCCTACTCGCTGAGTGCTGGGATTCCAGATGTGTGCCATCACACACAGTTTATGCAGTGCTGAGCATGGGACAAGGACCATGTATGACAGGCAAGCACTCTACCCACCACGCTACACCCCAGCCTCAAACCTGACAGCTTTGTACACCCCGAAATAGGGAGCCTCCTTCTCTGAGGTTGCATGTACCCTAGCCTCTGCTTTCCCATTTGTTAAGAGGCCCCTTCTTCCACTTCTGCACCGGGTGGTGCCTGGTGGTACAGGCCTGTCATCCCGGCAACTCCAGAGGCAAAATCAGGAGGATGGCAAGTTCAACAGTTAATTCGAGACCAGCCTGGGCAGCTTGGACTCTATCTTAATCTTTTTTTTTTTTTTTTAAATAAAAGAACTGTGGTGGGTTTGGGCTGGAGAGATCAGTCAGTGGTCAAGAGCATTTGCTGCTCTTCCAGAGAACCTGGGGTTTAATTTTCAGCACCCACACTGCAGCATGACTAGCTCTAACTCCAGTTCCAGGGAAGGGGACCTCTTCAGGCCTCTTGGGGTACAAGGCACACAAGCAGCACGGATGCACGTGCAGACGAAAGTCCATACACATAAAACAGAATTAAAAGTCAAAAAGAAAAAGAAAGAAAACTGTGGCTGGGGATGCTGCTCGGCTGGTGGCATGCAGGAAGCCCTGGGTTCCATCCCCAACACTGCATACACCAGGCATGGTGTGGTGCACATGCCTGTAATCTCAGCACTGAAGGAGGTGGAGGCAGGGGAATTACAAGCGCAAGGTCAGCCTTGCTTATATAATAAGTTAGAGGCCAGCCTGAGCTACAGAGGTCCCCGTCTCAAGGAAAACAAAAAAGAAAACCCCGACGCCTCTGCTGGGAGTCATGGCTGAAGGCCAAGGCGGGAGCCGCCGCCCAAAGCACCCGGCCCCTATTCTCCTGAGTCCCAGGAAGGAGGGGGCGTGGTCTTCTGTGGGCGTGGCTTTTCCTAGGGCGCGGGTGTGGCCTGAGCAAACTGGGGCGGGGCTACGGGAACAGAGGAGCCCAAGTGGAGCTTCGGGCTTGCGAGCCTCGGCCTCCAGGGGGCGTGGCTATACGGGGGCGGACCCGAATGGGCGGGGCCTCTAGGGGGCGGGGGCCGGCGGCCTCGCAGGCGCCTTTAGTGTGGGGCGCCGGTCGTGCTCTCTTCTTCCAACCGGGCTAGTGGTCGGCGGGTCTGGGCCTCGTCCGCTTCTCGGGCCCGAGCGGGGCCTGTGGCCAGCTCCTCGAGTCGCCAGCCCGGCCCGCCGCACGCATGGCGGCCATCAAGGCCCTACAAGAGTGGTGCCGGCAGCAGTGCGAGGGCTACCGGGATGTGAGCATCACCAACATGACCACTTCGTTCCGCGATGGCCTGGCCTTCTGCGCGATCTTGCACCGACACCGGCCTGACCTTATGTGAGTGTTCTTTGACCCCTCAGTCCGGCACCTCTGAGGTGCCGCTGCAAACGGGAAACTGAGGCCACGCCTGCCCTCGGATCCGGGTCAGAGTTTGCAGACACACCCCTCTCAGATGGGCCACCCGGGGCAGGACTGGGTACTGCAGGCGTAGTCCACTCGGTAGTCCCCAAGTCAAGTGGCCTCTGTGCAGGCCACCAAGTGCAGCTGGGCCAGGGGCCAGGACGTGGGCTGTCCAGCCGGCTTAGTCAGTGGTGACTCAGGGTAGCGTCCGCCTTTCCCTGGCTCCCTGAGAAAGGGCAAAGGAGCAGCTTCTGGGGGCCTTCTGAGACCCTGTACTGTCCCGAGGTTTGGCCCCAAGGTCAGGGTCACTTGAGGTGTCTAGCGGGAATACTGCTTCTCCCCCTGCTTGTCCGGGCATCTTTAAGAAGGCAGTCAAAGAGGGAAGTCCAAGCCTTTTAGCACCTTAGGGTTACGGGGGACCATGGAGCCTGGGCCACCATCCCTGCAAGTGGCAGGAGTGGGCAGGGATGGGGTCTAAAGCCTTCTACCAGAGAACAGCCTTGGCATAGGAAGTTGGGAAGCAAGCGGGCTCAGTCTTGTTGAGGGACCTTGGCCCACAGCTGAATCTGGTCTGTGAGTGATTCACTTAGCAAACACTTTGGCAGACTCTGTTACAGGGACTTAGGCTGGTGACCAGAGTCCTGGAATGGGACAAGATCACCTGTAGCCCATGCTCCTCTGAGAAAAGCTTTGTCCTGAGATATGGTAGCTAGAGTCAGAGTGGCTGGGAATGTTTCTCAGGGAGGGCTTGAGGCCAAGTGAGGCTCTAGGCAGCACTTGTGGAGCTGGCCTTATTCAGGCTTCTTGCTGTGCAGACAGGGAAACTGAGGCTCAGAAAAAGAAAAAAACAAAAACTCTCATTCAGGTTACACAGCATGACAACCAGAGCCAGGCCAGGTACCCCCTGGCTCCCTTGTGCCAAACTTTGCTCTGCTCGGAAAGTGAGAATCTTGAGCAAGAAGCAGTATTCTGCCCTATGGTTGTGAAATACATCGCCCCCCCTGCCTCTGCCCTGAGCTGCTTGGGTAGGCCCTGTGGCAGGGGCCTCAGTCACTCTCAGGGAGGCGTGGCAATTCAGTCACTCTCAGGGAGGTGGATGGTGTGAGTTCAGTGGGCCATCAGCTATATGGCAAGTGGAAAGCTTTGATGAATGTTGGACCAGGGATGCGGACCTTGGAAGATGGACTTAGCCAGGTCTCTCCGGGTGGTGCAGGGGGAGGCTGGATGCTGATCCAGAGCAGGGAGCCTAGATGACAGATTTTCAGATGGAGGAGTGATGGTGTTGGTGTTGGCTGGCCTAGCAGCCTCAGTTGGTAACGCGACAGGGGCAGGACCTTTGCAGATACAGTAGTGCCCACAGAAGAGGAGAGGTGTACACGCAGAGGTGCTTTTCTGTGTACTTGTGTGTGCGTGCATGTGCCGGCACCAGCAAGTGTCAAATATTTGCTTGTTTAACTGACAGTTACTGAGTGCCTGCTGTATACTGTGTAAGATCACCTTGGTACCCAGTGTGCAGGGAGCAACTTCCTGGTCTCAGAGACAGAAGTTCAAGGTGATGACAGGGAGCCAAGGGTCTGTGACAGGAAGGAGGCTGGAGGAAGAGGCGCCTGCTGAGCTCCTCTCTGGGTGGGTTGTCTCACACATGGCTGACTTCCTTGTTGGCTGTCCCGGCTGGACTCAGAGCTCCAGATGATGGACACGGGCTCTTAGTTAATGCTGTGTGGAAGCTGGAGGTGGCTAGAGCTCCACAGTTAAGGGCATGCTGCTGGAGCTCAGTAGATGTAGTAGAAGCTTGGGAGGAACCTCTGTGAATATGGAAAGAGTTTGGAAGTGACAGGACCAGGGAGTCCAGAGATGGAGACATGAGCTAAGGGACACCCTGAATCTTCCAGAAGCTGGGAGAGATAAGAAGGCCCCTTCCCTGGAGTAAGTATGACCCTGTTCCACCTTGACAGTGGATACCTGGCCTTTGGGAATCGGAGGACACATATTCCTTGGTGTGGACATCTGTAATAGCAGTGCTGGGAAAGGAATGGGGACTCTGGCAGAAACCACAGTGGTTGATGTGGTTCTCAACCTGTGGGTCTCGACCCCTTTGTGGGTCAAACGACCCTTTCACAGGTCATACATATCAGATAGCCTGCGTATCAGATACTTACATTACGATTCATAACAGTGGCAAAATTACAGTTATGAAGTAGCATCAAAAATAATTTTATTGTTGGGGGGGGGTCACCACAACACGAGGAACTGTATTAAAGGGTCGCAACACTAGGGAGGTTGAGGACCACTCTTCTAAAGTGTGGCTGAGTACAGGAGGGGGGGCTGCCATCTGAACCTAAGCCTTAAAATCCTCCAGCGTGGGCTGGCGAGACAACTCGATGGGTAAGGGGCTTGCCGCCAACCTGATGACGGGCCTTGGAGCTACAGGACTCACCAAAGACGGTCATTGTGTGCACAAGTGTTTTATGTGTCTCCTCCTCCAAATAAATAAATGTAAAAGGCCCCCAGCCTGTGTCCTGCCATGCTCGGGCCCAGGTGGTGGGTGGGGGTGGGGGATGTCTCACTGTAAAGCTGGGTAACTACCAGGAGAGCAGGAAAAGTGTGATGGACCCCAGGTACGGAGGGGCTGTCCTCTCTGAGGAGCCCTGAGGTCAGGCTTGGCAGGGGTGGGGGGCAGGTCCCAGCACCCCAGCACTCTAGTTCACTTCTTCCCCTGAAGACCCTCTGGCAGCAGGAAGGTGGATATCCTGTCTCCTTGTCTCCAGCGTTGCCACCAGGAAGTCCTTCCCTTTGTCTGACCTCAGAGGTTCCTCCTGCCTGCTGAGTGTGCTTCCTGTGGCCCTTGGTGGAGCGCAGCTGTGAGGGAGCAAGCCTGGGCATGGAGCCAGCCAGGTGGGGCCAGGCTGCAGGCAGGGAGTTCACGTGTGTTGTGTCCCTGACGTCCCTGACCCTCCCACATCGCTAGGCCCAGGGGACTGAGGAAATAGACTTTCCAGTGAGGCCACCTGGGCCAGCTCCCTGCCTCATGCCACGTGTCCCTGCTCCGCCCCAGAGCCTGGGTTTTCCACAGAATTTAAGGGAGCCTGCCCACAAGGACATTTCCGCAATGAAGCCAACCTGCAGCTGCCAGGTGAGGGCTGGGAAGCCACCCTGCACAGCAGCCCAGCCCACCTCTGGTCAGCTGCCCTGCCCCCAAGTAGGGAGCCGCAGCGGGGCCGGCTTCCCTTTGAACCTCACCGGGAGCTGCCACAGTGCTCTAGTTAGGCCATGGGGCCAGAGGCATAGTATCCTGTGGGTCTGAGCCAAGAGGTGGGGGAAGTTGCTTCAGGGAAGCTCCCCTCTGGCGGGAGAGCCCTGTGGGAGCCTGAAATTGAACTCAGGTTGTCAGACATGTATGGAAGAGCCTTTACCTGATGAGTAGTCTTGCCAACCTGTCTTTCTCTCTCTTTATTTTGTTTTATTTTATTTTATTTTGAGACAGAGTCTTATTATATAGCCCTGAAGACTGGGAACTCACTATGTAGACCAGGCTGGTTTTAAACTTGCAGAGATCCACCTGCTTTTGTCTCCCAAGTGCTGGGATTAAGGTGCGTGTTACCATGATGAGGAGACCATCTTTTTCTTTTGCCGAAATGGGGGGTCTCATGTAATCCAGGCTGGCCTTAAACTCAATATGTTGCTAAGGCTAACCTTGAACTCCTGATCCTCCTGCCTCCATCTCTTGAGTGGTGGGATTACAGATGTACACCGCTGTGCACAATGTATGCAGTGCTGGGGAGGAGTGGAACCCAGAGCTTCATGCATTCTAAGCAGGTATCCTGCCAACTTAGCCACACCCCAGCCCCAATGATAGCGTTCTATTGTTTATTTGGAGACTGGGTCTTGGAGACAGGGTCTTGATAAATAGTCCAGGCTGGTCTAGAGCCTACTGCATAGCCCAGGCTAGCTCAAACTTGGGCCAATCCTCCTGCCTTAGCCAGTGAATGCTGGGATTATAGGTACTCACTGCCATGCATGCTATAAAACCAGAGTTCTGTGGAAATTTCCAGCTCTTGGTCATGGGTGGGGTGACCTGAAGGTCCTCAAGGCCCCAAGGCCCCTACAGCTCTGGAAACTAGTGTTGAGGCCACCGCTAGAAGCAGCAGGTGGCTGAGGCAGCCTTGGCAGGGGTCCCTTGGGGGGGTGCCTTTGACTCTGTCTAGACTACAGACTCCCCTGCTGAAGGTCAGGGCTTTCACAGGGTGTGTGCCCTATCCCAAAGCTTCCCTGGCCAGAGCTAAGAGTGGACCAGGCAAGGCCAGCTTCCTTCCCTCCCACAAAGACTTCGGCCAGCAGGAAACTGCTTGGGCATAGAGGCCTTCTGTTCTCCAGCCCGAGGCTGGCTGCCCAGACCCCTGCCACTGCCTTCCGGGTAAAACTGTCCAGGACTGTGGGAGGGGGCTGCTGCCCTCCCAGGGGACAACCCAGCCGGGTGCTGGCCTTCCAGAGGCCTTGTTCCCTATGCCTGGTTCCCAGGCTCCTCGGAGGGAGGCTGGTCTCCTCCTCATCCTGCTCACTCCTCTTGGTTTCACACTCACCCTCAGCCCCTCTCCACTTTGGAGCTGGGGGCCTCTCTCTAGCTGTCTCTTCTCTTTGCCTTCTTGCCAGCGGGATTAACTCCAGATGTGCTGGATTTGCCTAGAGATAACGTTGAGCTGGGAATTCCCCTCCCAGCCTGGTGCCCACCCCTGCATATCTGAGTGTTCTTCCAGGAAATACAAGAAAGAGAAGTCAACCATGTGGGAACTAGAAAGGGGGGTGACTATTCCTAAGGACCCCCCCCCCCCAGGTGCTGGAAGGCTGGAGGCTGGCTTCCTCCACAGCTAAAGCTCACAGGGTGGGGGGGGCCGGGGGGCCGGGAACCCAGTTGTGTCATTGTGTTCAATAGATGGTGG